GGAGCTCTGGCATCAAAGCAGCCATCTTCATAGCAAATGGAATCGGGTACGTCCTTGGATCGTGCCCCCACACAAACCCGAAGAGCAAACATGGAAAAATGACTGCAATCTATGAACAATTGAGGGAATGGCTGCGTATGTTTCAACTCAGCTGTCCCACGGAATTTTCGCTTCCCACAAGAACTGTGTCCGGCAAGCTTGACACTCGTACTTCGGCCGTGGCCCCACTCCTTGCGCTGCTCCTTCGTCAGCGTGCCTCTGTCAAATCGCTGCGCTGCAGCATTGTTCGAGATCGCCACATGTCGTTTGGCATTACCCGACCCCCAGTGCATCATCCACCATCGAGGTGTATAAACCTCACAGTTCCATGCACACTGCACATGAAGGCCTGATACATATTTCACACGAAGCACATGCACTGGCATGAACATATTAGCTGGTAAGTGGCACGGAAGTGTGGCTGCAATCGGAGCCACTCAATGGCAGGGTGCGACACAAACAGGCTCGTGTGAGGCTGCTCGACCATGAAGGATCCACCCATTCCCATGGTCAGGAGACACAGCAGGATGGACCTCGCATGGCAGGGTTCATGGGGATTCGTGAGTCCATATTTGTTATCCTGTCAACCCTATAAGCCCTGATATCTAAATACCTACATATTTTTTATTTTTATAACTATACGAGCCCTATATTTGGATCCCCAAGCCAGGAGCGCTTGCCAGCTTCCCTGCCAAAGGCAGGGCGAAGCTCGCTGGGTTTAGGGGTATAAGGTTTTGGGTTTAGGGTGGTGCAGGGTCATAGTACGGTTGATGATATAGATCCTGCCTTACTTTATAATGAGCCTAGACTATGGGAAGTACTATGGGAAGTATGGTATAAGCTCGAACCTTATTGATAGTGCAGGATATATCAGCAACCGTATCTGTTCGGGTTTCTTGTGGTATCTCTCCGGGCGCCTTGTAGTATCTTTTCGGGTACCTAATACGGGCCCACGGCAGGGTCTATATAGGGTTTGGGGTGAACCCAAAATTGACTCCATGTTTGTTTCCCTGTAGGAGCTCTCCCGTCGGACTTTTTGTTGCCCTGTCAACCCTACCCTATAGTATACAAATATATATATATATATATATATATATATGGGAGTTTCCGAAAAGGAGTGGTAGCTTATGTTGGTGTTCTTTTATAGCGAGGACCCTATACTATTTAGGGTACTATATTGGGGTCCCCTATTCTCGGAAACTCCCATATATATGTGTATTAAGATAAACCCTACGAGCCCTATACGTGGATCCTCAAGCCAGCAGCTCTGACGTCGGACTCTTTGTTACCCTGTCAACCCTACCCTACATATATATATTATATATATATATACATATATGGGAGTTTCCGAAAAGGAGTGGTAAATTATTTTTGGGTTCTTATAAAGAGGATCCTATACTATTTAGGGTACTATATTTGGGTCCCCTATTCTCGGAAACTCCCATATACATATATATATATATATATATATATATATATATATACTATAAACCTTACGAGCCCTATATGTGGATCCCCCAAAAACCAATATATACATATATATATATATATATATATATACGGGAGTTTCCGAAAATGAGGGGTAGCTTATTTTGGTGTTCTTATATAATAAGGATCCTATGCTATTTAGGGTACTATATTACGGTCCCCTATTTTCGGAAACTACCGCACATATATATATATATATATATATATATATATATGGTCACCCCCCCCCCCATGACAGACCATGCCCTTTCGACTCAGTCGTAGTGCATGGTCTGTGATCGGGGGGAGGGGGCACTCAGCTTTCAAAGCCTCAATTCCAAAATTTCCAAAATTCTCTCCCAAAACTTTCCGGATTTCCAAAATTTCCAAAATTTCCAAAATTTCCGAAATTTCCAAAATTTCCAAAATTTCCAAAAAAATTCCAAAATTTCAAAAATTTCCAAAAAGTCCGCCCTTATGTTTTGGAAAAATCCTGTCGACTAGGTCGGGAAATTTTGGAAATTTTGGAAATTTCGGAAATTTTGGAAATTTTGGAAATTTTGGAAATGCGGAAAGTTAGGGGAGAGAATTTTGGAAATTTTGGAAATTTTGGAAATGCTGGAATCTGTTCTATATATGACTCAAGTAAGATTACTGTGTAGTGCTTACTATGTAGTGTATCAGCACAACCCTCATCCATACACGTTTGCTCTGTAATTCCTTTCTTGGTAGGACACCCGCGCGCCTTGTCGTGCTAGTCTCCGCATCGGACCAGATTACTTGCAAAGGCAAGGGCTGTCAATACTCATGCCCATATTTACACGAATATCTCTATATCTATCTGTATATCTATATATACATATATGTATTGATACTCCTACATATAGTATTGCCATTGAACATACTGACATTGATCATTTGTTGAATGCTCAAGCTAATACCAGCATTACTACTAATATTACACTTCTATAAAGCTTAGTACGAATATGCATAACACAAATAATAAGATTGATTAGTATTGCTCTTAGTACTCCTACGCATATCAATAACCATATTCATATTGATAATAATGTATAATAATACCAATACTAACACACACCTGTATGTACTAATGTACATAAACATGCATACCACCATATTAAAATACAAATCCTTTAACTCACTCATGAATTCAACTGTTAGAATTTCACGTGGTCAAGAGTAATAAAAATACAAACATTCTTTCGAATGTATATCATCAATAATATGATAGTACTAACGCTAACACTACTGCTAATACTTAACACAAAATCTATACTAACATCAATATTTACATAGCTATTTATACTCCTACGAATACGAATACGTAAACCCTTGTGCGTTAACAGTAGTGCTATCACCAACACTAATACGGACTTTGATAATCTGCTGCATATTCAAGAATGCCACTAGTATTACCAGCATGAACACTCATATTATTGCTATTACGAGTATAAATAGTCCTACTTCTACTAGTATTGACATTAATACTCCTACGAATACCAATAGTATATTCATATTGATATGAAAACTAATACCATTACTAATAGACACCTGCATATACTCATGTACATAAAAGACGTACCACTATCTTAAGATACAGATATATACATCAGTGCATTCATGTATTAATGCTTTGGCATAGGCATATACCCATATACCAATGTATCAATATACTTCTCGTTGTTGTATGAATATACTATACGAACATGTGACTATAATCATATACGGCTATTGCACTATGCAAGAATATCGACATGACAAGTTCGTATACTAATATGCCAACATACTGATATACTTATACATGATTAGATAAAACAGTAATATAGTACACATATTCGTACACTAATATGCTAACGTACGAATATACTGGTATGTCAATATACTAGTAAGCTAATACAGCAGTATAGTAGTGTAGTCATGCACCACTTGTACTAACATGTAAAATATACTAGTATACAAGTATGCAAATATTTTGCTGTCCGAATACATTGATGTATTGATATACTAATCTGCTAATATACGAGACCATCAATATACTAACATATCAAAACTAACTAGTTCTAATATTGATACTAATACTAGCACTTCTGCGAATATAAGCTGCTGTTAAACCCAGCATTAAGACTGATACTGATACTACTCGTAGCAGTGGTGCTGTATTACTGACATTGACACTGGCACTAGCGCTAACTCTAACACGCACATGAGCACTAACACTAATTTATAGTTGGCAATATTGATACGTATACTTACAGCAAGCAATAGTACTAATATTAACAACAATACTCACCCTAATATCGATACTACCACAAGGCTATTACGTAACTCATGTGCCGCACGTCTGGTGCTATACTATATACCTCATGTAACGGTTTTGCTTCACAGAATATCGTTGTGCACGGTGTTTTTTAGACCCGTGGTCTGTCACCGGGGGGGGGGGGTGAGCATATGTATATATACATATACATATACATATACATATACATATATATATATATGTATGATGTGCGTGCGTGTGTGTGTGTGTGTGTGTCTATATCGAATTTTTTGTATACATATACCACCCCACCACCCCCCCACCCCCACCCCCGGACCCACATCAAAGATTGAAAGAATCCACACCGGCACCAAGATGTACCAACAGCCTGGGTTAAGGATGGGCTTCAGTACTCGAAATTCGCGCATTTCAACCAAATCTCGCTTGGAATGTAGGAAATTGTGGCAATGTTGGAAACTTGGGAAGGGGACGAGAGCTTTAGCTTTCGCTATGCATATGTATACATGTATACATACATACATACATACATACATTCATACATGTGCATAGGCAAAACTATCATATTAACTTACTAAGTATACAAAGTGCCGAATGCGCAAAAAATCAAAAAGTCCACAAATGCCAACCACAGCAAATTCTGGATTTGCCTTCTGAGATAAATGCCAAGGTTTTGTTTTAAATTCTGAACCGGGGGATTTGTTGGAAACTTGGGAAGTCTCCAGGTCTCGGAAGTCGTCAAGTTTGAATTGGCCGCAATATCTGATCGTGCTCGAGCATATCCAGGTCAGAGCTCGTCTTAATCTTGTTGCACGGCCCCTGCTTCGACCTTTGCACCCGATCTGTTCATCTATCAATCTATGTCTCTGTCTGTCCGTCTGTCTGTCTGTCTGTCTGTCTCTGTCTCTGCCGACCTGCCTGCTTGTCTGCCAATATGTATGTGTTTGCTTACATTTAGGCTAATTTCTGCTAATGCATTATCTAAAAGAAGGCTCAGAAGGCAGTTTTCTTAGCTAGGTTAGCCACCTCCCCCATGCATCGAAGTGGGCTAACCAACTTTGCATACATAATTTTAGGGGATATGCAGGCCTCAGCTCACCGCCGGAATCGGCTCTTGGGCCCGGGCTGGGCCGTAACCCCTGAACTCCTTGGCATCTCCGACCCACGCTGCAGGCGCGTTTGAGACTACGACTGCGACTCAGAAGCTTACGTTTGGTCGCAGGAGACTATTCGGGTCGCTCCCAGGTGCATTCACGAACAGCCTGGCAGCTCCACATGCAGACGCAACCAGCTGGCGACGGCATGTCATCTGGCAAGGAACCAGGGATCACCAAGAGCTCCAGCCCTCTCTGCGAGCTCCTGTCAATCGCGCACCACGAAGCCCTTCAAAGGAAACAAGTCAGGTCGCCTGATCCCTCAGCAGTGATGGCTGGCCCATTTCTCCTGCCTGGCACGAGTGCAATGCACATTCGAGTTCCTTGGAACCTGTGAAGATCAAGGCACCTCGATCCGAACAATGAGGCTCCAAATGATGAAGGCAAAGTAGCCCATAATGGCTGGCAGGGATGCGCACTGTCTGTCTCCTCATGGTACCGCCAAATTGCCCCGTGCCTCCCTGAGCGAGGAACATAGCAAAGATATGCACCTGACAAGCAAGTGACCGCAGTGACCCCAGGGCCGATGCAGGGTCAAAAGCAGAGACTCCGTGACTGTCGTGGCTCAGCGAAAGGAACCGGACCTGGAACGTGCCGCAGCTCATTTTCCTCCACAAGGTTGTCTCAAACAAGGACCAAAAAGGCTGTGCAGAGTCTGAATGAAATGCAGACTTTGGCATCAGCTCAGGCTCCGGCTGAATTTCCTTCTGTGGGTGAAGCTTTTGGAGCATTTCAAGTTCTTGACAGCCCTGTGCAAAGGGGGAAGTCAAAGGAACACCAGGAGATGTCCCCAGCCAGGCCTTTATCAATCCCACGACAAGCTCTAAGCAGATCATGACCAAATAGCAGAGATGGTAGAGGAGCAGCACGCGCAACCTCTCCTGATGTTGACATGTGTGACATGCCAGGTACGCCGTCAATCGTCGGTCAGCGAAATCCACTGAAGGACCACTGTTTTAAGAATCTAAGCAAGAACCTGTCAGGGTGAGACCGGCCTGCAGTTGAACTGCTGGCATGAGCATACATAGACGGAAATGAATGCTGAGCCCACATTGTGGCACAGAAATGAGAACACTGGATTACAGCTTTGGCCACCTTTCCAGGCAGCAGAAATCCTATATGGCACCGTTGACAGTGACAGCACCATGCCACGAACCTGGGGCAGTGGTGCCTCTGCTACTTCATGGCCAATGATGTCTGTTGTGCGTACTTCTTGCCGGTAGCGATTTCGCTCTTCAACTGCGCCTGGCAAGGGAATCGGACATCCAGCTCGAGGCTTCACCGCAAAGCACTACGCATCATAAAATTCGTGCAGACATGGCGCTTTAGCTTCTGCCAGCCGCTTCTGCTCCTAAGTTGAAAGTCAGCTTGAGAACTTCAGCATAAGAGCTGAACGAGCCTTTCACTAGTTTGCGCTAGATCAGCAGAGTGTCATGTGCGCTGAGATTTCCGATGGGAAGTGCCCGAGCCACACCCGCTCTGCCAAACTGAACTCTGGACGCGAAGTAATCCAATTCGGTCACATCTGACTTGATGTATGCACATTCCACAGCAGCTTGCCCTGACATGCCAGCCAAAACAGCCCGGCCAAGGCGTGCTCCTGCATAGGCCATGGAAAGGGTGGCCGAGCCCTTTCCGTTCTTGGCATTCACGACCTCTGTCCCTGCATCTTGCGTCTTCCTGTCCAGGTCTGGAATTTTGGCGGGATCGATCCGCGATCCGTGGCGATCTTGCGAGAAGACCGGCAGGATGGTCATGCCGGCATGGCCTCCTATGACTGGCACCTCAACCTGCAGGAAAGGGAAAGGCACGGCCTGCCTCAGCCTTGTCTTTAACCTCATAACTCATGATGTCCTAAACTGCTCTGACCTGGTTGCTTGCATACCCCCAACTTTGACACGTGCTCCTGGCCCTGGGAAGGTTTCGCTTTGGTGATAAGTTAGATCGTGTCAGCCTTCATTCCATGATTGGTCCGTCCGAAGAGCGTTGCATGGGCCGCATGGGCACTAGTGCTCCCAAGCCAGACCCAGGGCAGAGCGAAAATGTAAAACCGGCACCCTGCGGCAGTTGTTTGAACTGCTTGTTTGGCGTTTTGATCTCTTTTCTTGCATCTGCATGGGAATGAACCCTGATTGATATTCTTTTGCATTCTGCCACCAGTCGTGGTGATCATCACCAAGGACAAACAACAACGACAACAACAACAAGAAGAAGAGCAGCAACAGCAACAGCAACAGCAACAGCAACAATCATCATCATCATCACCACCATCATCATCATCGCAATCGTCACAATCATCATGGTCGCGTAACAAACGATGCTTCGTTCATTCACATGGTCGAAATCCCAAGCTGCCGTGGAAGCTTCAGCCGAGCGACCTCACTGGGGTGACAGCCTACAATGTCGGCCACAAACTTGTTGGCCCGGACACAGTCAAGCGTTGTCACGCCAACAATCTTCGTCGGATCCAAGCCGGCTTTGCTGTAAAGTTCAGCCATGGCCGGCACGATTGAGTTCACTGGATTAACTATTAAGGCGACCACTGCCTGCGGACAGAACCTCGCGCAGGCCTCTACAATGCCTTTCGCAATGTCTGCGTTTACACGGAACAAGTCGTCCCTGGTCATGCCAGGTTTGCGAGGCATGCCAGCAGGCACTAAAACCAGACTACAGCCAAGCAGACAGTCCATCAAATGGTCTTTTGGAGCCTTTCCCACGTCCATTACGTAGCCGGTTACTTTGACCTTGCTCTCAATATGGCTCAGGTCTGCGGCGACACCCTCTGGAGGCACCATAGCCACATTCAGATCGAAAACGGAAAGCTCCCGTACATTGGGATCCATAGACATTAGCAAGCAAAGCGGCTGGCCGATGCCACCAGCACCGCCGCACACGCAAACCTTATGGGCCCCTCCGCCCATGATAGCTTTCCGGATGCCCATAGAGCATGTTGCCCCCATGAACGAACCGGTCGAGAGGGTATCAGTTGCTGGAGCCCGCAGCTTCGCAGAAGAAGGGCATGAGCATTAAAAAAAAATGAAAGATACTGAGCCGTGGTGAAGACTCAGGCATGCACCACGTCTTTCAGCAAAACGCCGATGAGGCCCTTGAAGCCCGCAAAAAGCGCGAGCGTATTCACCATCCTGAAGAATTCTCGACCATTGCTGGCCGCTAGCCCCAGTCCGCGAATCACAAGCAGGTCTCTAAGGCCAGCGCATTTTCAGGAATTCTACCGTTGCAAGCACAACTGAATGCGTTTCCGCGGTTCTTGGCCTGCCATTCTGAAGTTTGCAGACATGTCCCCGCTTGAACGGGAGCGCCACCCTCCCATGAGGACACTGAGCATGCTGAAGCTGCCGAAGACCTGCGCAACTAGGCGACCAAGAACTAGGCAAACTCAAGACAAGCCAAAGTCGAAAGCACAGAAAGCACAGAACACTGTGCTGCTTCATCAACTTCATCAGGACACATCTTGCAAACGAGGCACCACGGTGTAGGTAGAAATAACTTGCACCTGAGTTTCACCGTCCGAGCCCACCTTTCAACCTGGCCTTTCACACCTCTCGGGCCGCGACCCCTTGAAGCAGCGAACACGAAAGGCAGCAAGTCTGCGAAAGCAAGGCTTTGAGCGCAGTTGGAAGTGGCGAAAAAGCCACACACACACACACACACACACCAACCAGCTTGATTGTGACCTCCGCTGGTGGCGGCGCCATGATCGGAATGAGATCTACTATGAACTGTTGAGAGTTTCGATGTCGTCGCACGTGTAGCTTGTCTAGCTAGTAGCTTACGGCGGATGCCAGTCAGGTCGACTCGCGAGCTGTCTGGACGTAGATCACTGGCTTCATCCTCATATGTTTTGGCCTGCAAGCCATTGCCGGTCTGAACTTCTGACCTGTGTCAAGAACTGCTGCCAGTAGCAACGGCAGGCTGAGACAGCGAGAGCGAGACAATTTCTAAGCGCGACCCTCCACTGGTGAGGAGTCTTAAAGCACTGAATTGTCCAGCCGAGTGGAAACTGTGCTGCTTCATCAGTACAGTGCGGCTGAAGACATGGAGCTCAAGTCCCATTGACGTGTCTTTGACGATATGAGTGTAGTATTCGTGGACTCTGCGTGAGCTTGAACCCCATGAAATATGCTGTTCTAGTGAAACGTCCAAGGATGCTTGTCTTCTAGCTCCTCGGTAAAACTTGTGATACGGTGCACGAGTCGAATTAAAAATCGAAAATAAGCTGTCTACCTGTCTACGTCCATCCATAGGGCTGATTAGGGCATTGGGGCGCTCTCTTCATGGACGGTGCCATCTGCTGTGTGCATGATCTGCAGTGGTCATACTGAAGTGTACCTCTTGCGGCTTCGGCCTGTGAATATTGAGCATGGCATATATACCTGACATAGGCTTTGGCTGCTCAGGATGTGGAGCGGTTGGCATCAGCGTGTCCGCCTCAACCTGAGACAGTTAGGGCAGGGCGCTGAAATTCGACATTGCCTAGCATTGCCAAGGCACCTTGACCTCTGGAAAGTGCTCGGGGAAATATCTCGGAAACCTGTCTGTTCTGCAGAGCTCCTGGAATGCATGTCAGTACAGGTTCATGCTTGAGCTGCCCTGGGGTCTGTGGAGACTGGAAGACAGCTGTGCAGACATGCCGACATCTGTCCTCGCTCGTCGGGAACCGGAAGATCTCCGAGAGTCCTTGCCGTGTCAGAACAACTGCACATTTAGGACTTGCGAAGTGCATCCCAAAAAGTGTATCGAGACAAGCCACCCCCCATCACCGTCAGAGGTGGGCAGTGCGGATGCTTCAACCTTCTTGGGAAACTTGTCAAAGTCGTCATGTTTGAGTAGAAGCATGTGCCAAACAGCCCACCTCGAGATCCTGGAAGTCTCGGTCACAGCTTTTGAGCTGTCTTTCAAAATAGTCGGCCTGGGATATGACCTTGCCCATTGCATCCGTGAATGTTTGGTCATGAACATGCACACCGAATGCAGCTGCAGAGCGTCTGTGAGTATCTTGTGGTCCGTCTGGTTCAAGAACCTTTTTGTCAGCTTCTGTATTCATTGTGGCCGTTGAAGGCTCCGCAAGGTGTAACCAGACAGACCAAGGAAGCGGCTTGACAAAAACTTCGGCATAGCGTCTACACAGGCTCCAGGGACGAGGATGCATTTTCATCACCTCTCAACGCTTTTCAGAGCAACCCCTCTGAGATTGAACGCAGAAATTAACACAAACCTGGCCTCGTTGAACGGGCCGGGCTTTATGATCGCTAGCTCTGAGGGTGTGCTTGCCTCATGGGGAAGTTAGTTTCACTTCTGCCCGAACCGCCGTTCTTGCACTGCGTGGTGGCATCTTATGCTGCCTTGAACTCCCCTCGGTGCCACCATGTGGTCCACAAGACAGCTTCTGCCAACCACGCCTGCCAGCAGTACGGATTGAAGAATCAGTCGACGGCAAGGACGAGTCGACTGGATCTTTCGCATTCAAGCCTTCTGCAGCAAACGAGGTCTCAGAACCTCGCCATTGGGGAGCATGTACCTGAATATGGCTGATGGCCAAAGCCAAAAAGGCCTTTGCGGGTGAGTCGGGGCACTCGAGATGACCGCTCTTCACGAAATACATTTTCTCCCCCTCTTCACCGGGATGAAACACGACATCTTCACCTGTCAAACACAAGCTATCCACTCTGTCACATTAGACAAATTCGAGAAACTTCATCGACGGCCGGGAGCCGTGCTGGCCAGGTCAATCGTTCGCAGAACTGTATCACAAAGCTTGACGAGGATCGGGCTCATCTCATGCCTGAGACTGAGGAACCAAATGGCATCCGTGAGCCCACCCATCCAACAAGTATGGCAAGACATTGCCTCTGTGTCATCACCTTATCCCTCTGCAAAGCTTTGGATGAGCCAGTGGGATTGCAGTGGCACACAGCTACACACTTATAAGGCACACAGGAGCTGCGACTGGGTTTTTGTTCACGGTTCCTGCTTGGAAGGGCTTGCGAAGGCCTGTGCAGCCGCTTGAACAGCTACAAACCTTGAACCCCTTGCGAGCCCAACTGCAGCCTGCCGGGTCCCATAGTAGGCGCAATGAAAACTTGGGTCCCAGTCTGCTTGAAAGTGACAGAGGCAGAAGTCTTACGGGCTTCTTTCCTTGGGCAGTTTCGCGAGGGATGGATTGGAAGCCGTCGGTTGTGCATTCTCTGCGGCCGAGTTTGCCTTTCGCGAGCTAGAAGACCGAAAAGTTCCCTAAACCCTCAAGCAGCTCAAGCAAGGAAAACCTTGGGGATGAAAAGCAGAAAAACTACCAGACAGGTAGTTTTGTGGTTATCGCTTCTGGGCAGCTTTGGAGAGAATAGGTGAGCTCACCTCCTTAGGTTCGGAAAGTGCCGGACCGGAGAAGCCGAGATGCTCCAGGTGGCAGAAGAAGGGATGGTTCTCGACATGCTTTTTACTCAGCTCGTAGGCCAGCAGATTCTTCAGTGGCTCCTGACACCCAAATCACTTCTGTAAGGTCCAGGATTGGCTTCTTCTTGGCCCCGGACTGACAGGAGCGTGAGGATTGTGATGGAACCTCAGAAGGGGCTCAACAGGGCCCTGGCTTTTCACGTAAGTCCGATCAAGTCCGCGACCGGGATTGACGTCACCCTGCTGATTGGCAGTCTGGTGCTCCAGAAAGCGAATGATGCGTGCTGATGTCGTTTTTCCTAGCATCAGGCTTTGGTGCCGCGCCATCCATCTCTGAGACATCGCAGACGCTGCCTATTTTTTTGTGGTTCAGGAATCGGCGAAGTAGCCAGAATTGCCTCATGTGTTGCGGCCATCAGTGGCTGTCTACATGGTGAAAATGTCCGAGGTGCTTTTTGCTGTCACCGCTCATATTTCGAAGAGCAGTCATGGAGTTGGTCACACTTCCTGCACCAGATGGTCAGAGGGGGGTCAGTGGCGACAAGAGGGCAATTTTTCCTACAATGGACGAGAAGGCCACCAAAGAGAAGAAGAGCACCTTGGACGATAGGGTGCCAAACGAGCTCAAGCTGAAGCCAGCCCTGAGGCCCTAAGGCCCGGACCAGGATCGACATTATCCTTTCGTACTCGTTACGGGCGCTCACATCCATTGAAGCTGGTGTAAATTGCGTCAAGCTCCAGTGCAAGGAAGTCAGATACCTCACGTAGCGCGTCAGAGCATGGCTCGTGCTGCAGAATGTGAAGACGACCCACTGAGTCGAGGGCTTCCAAGCAAATTCGGAGGTGTAGACATTTCTCAGTCCTGAGCACGACTTGCCTTCACATGAGACCCCACTCCCCTACTGTGTCAAGACGTCCTGTCCTGTGTCCTCCAACCAGTTGGGCATTCCTCGAGTCGATGCTCGCAGCTGCACACAGTCACAGCAAGAAAGCCCTGCTCAAGCAATTGAGGCACCGACCTGCTTCCATTGTCAAGTACCCAACGAGGTACCAAATGCACGCAATCACATGATTAAGCACCTTGATCGCAGCACATTGAAGCAGAGGGGTGCTTGGCATTGGTGCAGATACAGCAGTAAACACTGGGCGAAATCCAAGCAGCAAACAGATTGATCGGCTAAGGCTGCCGCGGTGATGGCTACTATCAGTCTTATCATCGTAAAGACCTGTACCACACCACGAGCACGAGTCTTCGAGATTCGGTCGGCAACTCTGTGCAAGAACACAAGCATGCGCGGCAGAAAAACTGACGGCATCCAAGATGCAATAAACATGTACTCACTGTCAATGAGGTCATAAACCATATTCATCAAGCCTCAGTGAAACCAGATGGCTCGGGCACTACAGCATCAAGGTTAACTCCTCCAAGCTGGGCAATGTGAAAGCTTGCTTTTCTTCAATTGCTGAGGGGATGGAGAGGGATGCCCAAACTCAGCAATAGATCTAAGGAGAGCATGCCAGGCTGCCTTTCCGCTCAGGTTTGCTCATT